TTCAATGACAGAGTTCATTATATAGATGCCATTTATCTATATTTGTAAAAGAGAAATTTAAGTTCATTAAGTCAAGATATGTAAAAGAGAAAGAACAGGAAATGCTGGCAACATACCAACATTACTTATATTGTCTTTCAATTTTAACTTGTTTTTATCTTACAACGGAGAATAGCATTCCTTTACATCGCCATTGTGGCTGGGAAAAGCCTATCCAAATATATACACCCCCACCGAGTAGAAGAGCGCCACTGTGAAAGAAATCAGGTTTTAACCGTCTCCCACACATCAATTATGGGAAATCTAAGCAATTACAGCAAAGAAATACATGCTGAAGGTTCCCTGTAGCGAAGTAATATTACTTAACAGGGTGGCTAAGAGAGTACCTCACTGGGTTGATCCATGCAGAGAACTTCCTGAACGACAGCAGACTCTGCCAGTATCCATATAATGAGTTGAATTTTGAGGAAAAAAAATAATTGAAGTAAATTAGCAGTAAAAGAAAGGAGTAAGGACAGGTGGCAGCAATTAGTTATGAAGTTCGAACAACAGATGTATGTCAATAACAAAACGGCCAACAGGATTCAGTTCTGAACAAATGGTTTTGTGCATACCTGCAATGCTTCGGCAAAAGAAGCAGCAAGAAGGAAAGGAGTAACGTAGCCGGTGTGTATGTCAAGAGTAAGCTGCCTCCTATAGTGGATCATGTTATACGGTAGCAATAAATTATTATTGGATTTATGCCAAATTAATCGATTCATTCTTGTATAGACTCGAAGGTTTATTCATTTGAACAGCTATTCAGTCTCTTTATCCATCAGTTTACCTTGGATGTGGCTACGTATCCCAGCAAAGTGGCCAGCACTGGTGTGCTGCAAGGTGAGGGCTAATGCAAATGTAAGCTCGGCTAAATATGCTTGCACATCTAAAATATGAAACAAATTTGAAATTAGCACCTTTTAAACATTTTATAGATCATGCATATAATTAACTTTTGTTCAGTAGGGGAAATAATCGAGTCTTTAGATTCATGCATAAATTAACTTTTGTTCAGTAGGGGAAAATAATCGAGTCTTTACCTGATGGGAAGTTGGCAGCTGCAGCACGGGGATCAAAATTGTTGAAGAAGAGGGAAGTTGTAACTCGACGACCTGTAATGTTAGTTTGGAGCATAGTAAGAATAATTAGATTGTAAACGTCTAGAGCAGGAAACTCTGATATATGGTTGACTATGACATTGCTAATCTGGTTAGCCATTCTGCACAGTATTTGAAGCCATCTAATCTAAAGTTGTAAACTGTGTAATTCAGACAGAAACAATAAGGCATACAATGATACCGGTAACTTGTAAGATCCCGGCAATGGAAAAATGATTAGAAAACATGGGAAAAAAAAAAACATGGATGGCAATATGAAGGACAGAAACATGGAGTTTCATACACACTGAGAAAATGTGAAATTCGAAGGAACAGTAGTGTAAGAATCCTTCCATACAAACAAATAGAAACTATATGATTGATGACAAATATTAAATACAATCAATGGGATATTTAACCCAAGAAAAAAGCTGCTAAATCAAATAACAACATTAGTTGCTTGATTGAATACCTCAAGTAGATTAAGACCCATAATAACAGCCAAACCAGAAGCAGGCAATGGCAACCCTTGCCCTATCTGTCCATATACCTTCCCAGCGAAGGAGGCTGCTACACCGAGGACTGCCAGAGTAGTTGCTAATCCTAGTGAGAAAGACACCGAATCACAATGACCTGAACATAAAAGAACCCAAGTCATTTTAGTATGAACACTTGTACATCCATGATTGCATTTGTAATTGTGTGTCACACATGTAAGAGAGGAAGGACCAATATATGTTTCAATCAGATTTAGCCTATAATATTTAGACTCGGATGTGTGTGTTTTTCCATGTATTTGGAAGGTCTTTGGAGAATCGCATTCTTATACCCAGTAGAATATGGGCGCCAAACATAGATACTTCCAAGAAAAATGAAGAGTTGGAGCAACATAGGATTTAGCTACACGGACATGGTACACATGCTATACTAGCTATTATGGACAAGTTCAGAAGATAAATGGGGTCAGCTATAATAATAAACTTAATTAAAAGGTAAAGAAAATAAGGAACAGGCTGCATCAGCACTGCTGACAACTCAACCTGAACCTATATATATAACTTATTGGCCTTTGATTTTAGGTCACCTATGAGCCGAAATGTTTTTGAAAGTTTACTTGTTTCAATTATATAATGATAGGAGCTAGCAATTACAAATATTCATACAAGTTCGATTCAATGAAGAACAAAAGGTTCTATCGGGAATCTAATAAATGCAGTAAAGAAGATGTACTGCGCAATGCGGTAACATGCTATTACCTCGGTTCTGCCCTTGCCAGAACCAAATGCACCTGGAAGGTTCGAATCAGACTCAAAAGATCTGCATCAAGCAAGAGTGGGTCATGCAAGAAAGTAGAAGAACAGTTGACATTTGGGGAAAGTTCTCGTTCTACTTACCAATGTATCCAAGCGTCAATGGCAGAACATTTGGTGTACATGGAGAAATGCTTGTTACAAACCAGCCCCAAAAATCACAGCCAAACTGCAAAAGCCAAAAAATAAATAGACATATATGGACATCAACCACTAAATAGCTACAGATTCTAAGGGGGGAACAAGGAACGACTAGTAAAACTCAAGGCTGATACTGTCCCTGAACAGCTTCATTAGCTTGCTGGCCAGCTGAATAGAGTAGACCTCCAAACCAATCTCCAGGATTTCCATCAGCCAAAGTGTAAAGTGAAGCAGCTCCTTACATCCAAGGAAATGAACTTGCAAAGATAACAAATAGAAGAAACATTAAGCTCACCAAAAAATATTATCTCCAGTTAAAGCCTTTGCAGAGTCAATTGCAACCAAGTTTGTCACTAAAAATACAGATATGAACTCAAAATATTATAAAACAAAAAACCCATCACTTGTGAAGTAACTTACAACTGAGTTAACTATTAGGAAAATCATAATTTAAGATCAAAAGCATTTATTCTAATGGAAGAAGACAGTGGTTACCTGCTGTAGTATTCAAATTAATCTATTGAAAAAATAAGTTAATTAAATTAACTAATCATATTTTATAATTAATTAGTTTTAAATATTTTTTAAATTAACAAAATTTAATAAAATTCAAATCAAATTGAATTAATTTTTTCCAGTTAGAGAACATGTTAAAACTTTGTTTTGTTGTAATTTGATTAACTCTATATATATACATATGTATAATATATAAAATATTTACCGCATTTATTTGATAGTGCAGTAAATAACAAGCCGAGAACTGAAAGCTCATCGTATATATTAATATATATTATATGTATAATATAATATACATATAATATAAAACGAGGTTTGACAGTTGAAGTTGGAAGTTGGAGGATCGTAAATGAGACGAGACAAACGAGTATTCGAGATTGATTTGGTCAAAGCTCGATAAATATTGGATCGAAGGACTCGACTTGAGTTCCTAACGAGCTGAAACGAGCTACTTTATACTCGACTCGAAAAACTTGTGAGCAGCTCGAAAATAAATATTAAAATTTTGTTTTTTAAAAATAAATATTAGTAATATTAACATTATGTGTGATTTTTTTTTTAAAAAATGCAGTAAAGTTTTCATGTATTTAATGTTCAGGTTTGAGTTTGAGGCTTCAATCGAGTTAAGTTTAAGATTTTTTTTTCTTTATTTCGAGCCTTTTCGAGCTGTTCACGAGCTTCAGTTCAGGATTTTGAGTTCGAGTCGAGCTTGAAAATTTTAAGTTCGTGAGGTTTTGAGTGAGTCTAGATCCATTGCAGAGTTTTCGAGTCGAGCTCAACAATACTCGAGCTCGATTCGGCTCGTTTACCCCCTAGTTGAAACCTTTAAGGGATGGTATTTGATTTTTATTTAGTTTTTAAGAATTCTATATATTTTATTTTTTTATATTTTTATAAATTACTTGGATTTTTTTTTTTAAAAATTTTTTTGTTGAGAATGACAAATTTGTATATTTTAAAACTGTCGGGGATCTAAGTGATATTTACAGTAATTTATAATTCGGTTTATTCAAATTATTTGAATTGCAAAATTCAACTCGGGTTTAAATTCGAAAAACCGAATAACTCGACTGACTCGAAATTCAACTAGTGTTTCGCAAATGAATTCTCTTTCGAAGCTTTAAATAAAGCTGCTAACTTCCCATAACACTTTTGTAGATCAAACATTTAAATTAACAAAACCACTTTGTTTCAGTGTACTTCTCAAAATTATTTTTCAACCCAACAACAATAAAAAACTAAGCTTTAGTGTGCTTTAATCAACTTTTTGAGTGTTTAGGATGTCTCTTTACCTCTTGTGTGTAAGGTTTGATATATGATATATCCATGAAAAGTTATGTTTTCTTTGCTTTTTGGGGTTGGTACTAGCTGAATTAATGTGTTCTATTTTTCATATATAGTATATATTATTGCTTAGGGGTGTTTTTGTTTATATGGGTTTAGGATTGTCATAGTAAATCCATTTATTGAGGGAGGATTTGGTTTCAGAAACTTCGTGTTTGGTGCCGGCAATCCCGTGGGGTGTGGGCACCTGGAGTTATAGAAGCTACATCAGGGGAAGAATCATTTGTCTCCCTTGGCAATGAAACTGTAATTTTCATGATTTCTGAAATTGTTCATTAGTCTCGACCGTTCCTTTTTGTTGGTTGGTGCATGATTTATACTATATCATTGTTATAGGTTGCAAAAGTCTCGACTCTTCCAGCCACATGTTTCCTGCAAACCCAGAAATTCTCAGTTCTTCACAATCTCAAGTGCAGATATTCTCAAGATATGATATATGTAAGCGGGATAAAAGCCGTGGCCATGCACTTGTTAATGATGACATCTCTACTGCCAGGCTTCATTATACATTTTCTGCGGTAGAGTACAGAAGGTGCAATTTTGATTGCAGTCAACCCATTTAAAGATGTCGGAATTTATGGGAAGGATCTTGTCACGGCTTAAAACAGAAAGCTACTGACAGCCCTCATGTTTTTGCTATAGCAGACACTGCTTATAATGAGATGATGAATGGTGATGAAACCATTCTCTCTCTCTTTTCATTTGCTTAAGTTACAATAAACTAGTGAGAAATTGCTCATGGTGTTACAACAACTTGTTTCTGATTTTCTCGTTACCGTTATAATGAACATTTTGCAGGTTGAGTAAATCAGTCTCTGATCATAAGGTTAGTTGGATGTTCAATATTTTCAGTTTTATATGATAATGTAATATTACTGTGTGTCATAGTTTTTGTTTTATGAATTGTGTACTTACGTAATATAAATTTATTCTGCAGTGGGGAATATGGAGCTGGGAAAACCGAGACAGCAAAATTTGCTATGCAGTAGCTGGTTTCTGTTGGAGGTGTCAATGATGAGATAGAATTCAACTCCTTCAGGCAAGTTGTATACTTGAAGCATTTGGGAATGACAACGCTAGCAGATTTGTGATTCTTTTCCTTATATATTTCAACTTGTTCTCTGCTAAAGTATATATATGTCTCATGGCTGAAAAAATCTGTGCTGACCTTAGTGAAGGAGTTTCTACTTTAGTTTATGTATTTCATATCTGCTATAGCTCAGAAAGCGCGCCTTACTAATTACTCTGTTATGCTAAATTGATGCAGGGGAAACTTGTGGAAATTAATTTTACTGAACTGGGGGAGATATCTGGTGCGAAGATTCAAACTTGTAAGCGTGTTGAAAAAGAAAAGATTGCTATTATTACTTGATACATTGTAGTATAATAATATTAGATAATCCTGGTGACTGATCGATTTTGTGTTATGTGATTCACCACAACACTTATGGATAGTTCTTCTGGAAAAGGTGACTTCCGACATTAAACTTCATATTGAATTTTTTCACCATTATCACTAATAAAATCGATGCTGACAAGGGTAGTATTGTTAAAAGTTTACACCGCAGCAGGTTTGTCCTGTACTTGGTTAAAAAAAATATTCTTTCATCCTTTATATTTGCTGTGATGCACTCGTTGACAATATTATAATTCATTAGTTAACTTGTAATTTAGGCCAGTGACGCAAGAGATGCTATGGCGAAATGGATCTATGTTTGCTTGTTTGACAGGCTTGTGGAACAAAAACTGTTGATAAAGAGTAAACAATATAGTGGAGAAGAAAAGGAACTTTTTTTATTATATATTGTGAAATGGTGAAAATACATCTTTTTATAAGAAAGTTAAGAGTAAGTTTTCTATTAGAAGTAAACTACTTAGTAATTATCCTTATCTATCTAACTTTCTAAGAGTTAGTGTTATATTAAAATACTACCTTATCTATTGCATAACCTACACTCCCCCTCAAGTTGGGGAGTAAATGTTGAAAAGACCCAACTTGGATATAATCTCATCAAAGGTAATCTGGAAGTGCTTTGGTGAGAATATATGCTAACTGATTCTTCGTTGAAACATAATTGAGCTTCACCGTTCCACCATTCACCTTTTCAGAGATGAAATGTCTGTCAATCTCCACATGATTCGTTCGGTCATGATGAACTGGATTCTTTGCAATACTTATTGCAGATTTACTGTCACTTTGAAGTTCAAACCATTTGTTGGCACATAACCCCAGCTCAGTTAACATTCTTTGAAGCCAAATTCCTTCGCAAATTCCAAGTGCGATTTGCTCTAAATTCTGCTTCTGCACTACTTCGAGACACCACCGTCTGTTTTTTATTTCTCCAAGTATCCAAATTTCCCCAAACAAATGAACAATAACCAGTTGTAGATCTTCTATCCGTTAATTCACCTGCCCAGCTTGAATCTGAAAAAATTCTTACTGTTCTATCATCACACTTTCTAAAATTAATCCATGTCCTGGTGTCTTTTCAAGTATTAGAATTCTATTCACATCGTCTAAATGCTCTTCTCTTGGGTCATTCATATATTGACTCACTATAGTGGCAGGGAACACTATATCAAGTCTAGTAAGTGATAACTAAATTAGTTTACCTATTAGCCTTTGATACTGTTCTTTGTTCACATGACTTCCCGATTCTTCTCTCCTTAGCTTCAGATTTGCTTCCATGGGTGTTTCAGCCAGCTTACATCCCTTCATTCCAGTTCCTGATAGTAGATCAAGGATATATTTTCTTTGGTTGATCATCATTCCTTCTTTTGACCTTGCAACCTCCATGCCTAAAAAAATACCGTAAAATTCCCCAAGTCTTTGGTTTCAAACTCCTTCGCCAGTAGCTTTTTCAATCTTTCTATCTCCAAACAATCATCACCTGTTAGAATGATAGCATCCACATAGACAATCAAAATTGCCTTTTTGTTGTTTGAAGATGTTTTGACAAATAAAGTGTGATCTGATTGACATTGCTTGTAACCATCTTGAATAATCACCTTTGTAAATCTGTCAAACCAGGCTCTTGGAGATTGCTTAAGTCCATACAAGGACTTTAGTAATCTACATTCTTTTTCTGTATTACTCATCACACCCGGTGGAATTCGCATATATACTTCATCCTCCAAGTTTCCGTTTAGAAATGCGTTTTTGATGTCTAACAGATGAAACACCCAATTCTCATTAACTGCTAATGACAGTAACACTCTCACAGTGTTTAGTTTTTCTACCGGAGCAAACGTTTCATGATAATCAACTCCAAAAGATTGAGTGAATCCTTTCGCTACTAATCTCGCCTTATATCTTTCAATGCTACCATCAGCTTTGTATTTTACCGTGAATACCCATTTGCAGCTGACTGGTTTTTTATCTTTCGGAAGATCAACTATAATCCAAGTATTGTTGTTTTCCAGTGCTTTTAATTCCTCTTATACTGCCTTTTTCCACTTGGGATCTTTCAATGCTTCTTCCACCGTTTATGGAACAGTAATGCTATCTACACTTGCTGTAAAGTTCTTAAAACAAGGCTTTAGCTTTCCATATGCAACAAATCTCTCAATTGGATAATTTATGCATTTTCTTACTCCTTTCCTTTGAGCAATCGGCAAGTCATTATCATCAATTAAAACATTTAATTCAGTGGAAGAACTCTGATTACCTTCTTCGTTCTTCAAAGGATTCTCGTTCGGTTCCGATTCATGACAGTGTCCATGCTATGTGGGAGACTCGGGATTAGGTTCAGGGATTGATTTAGAAATTGGTTTTTGTCGTCTCTTGTAAATCTACAACTCGGATTGAGAAATTTGAGGCAAAGTGATATATTGATCATGCCGAGGTAAATGTGTTTCCGTGGACTGGTTTGGCAAGGATATGTTTTCTGGGTTCGGTAGTGTTGTTTGGTCTGGCTGTAGCAATTTTGTAGGCTTATTCGACTGGTTTAACTGGTTTGACGGTGTTGGTTGATCAAAAAGAGTTGGATGCAAATCAAGTGACAATTGTTGTGAGTCAATAAACTGATATTCATTATATGACTCCCCTGAATAGCAGTTTTAAGGAAAAAAGGTGTTTTTTCAAAGAAAGTAACGTCCATAGTAATAAAGAATTTCTTTATACGAGGATAATAACATCGAAAGCCCTTTTGAGTCGATGAATAACCCAGAAACACACACTGAAATGCTCGAGGATCTAATTTGGACATGAAAGGAACATTGTTATGAACGAACACAGTACAACCAAAAACTCTAAGGGGTAACAATGAAGTCATTGGTTTAAATTGGAAAACCTGAAGAAAAACATCCCTCGGACACTTAAATTGTAACGGTTTACTAGGGAGACGGTTAATCAAATAAGTGGCAGTTAAAAAGGCTTCCCCTAAAAAATAGTTAGGAACATTTATGGAAAAAAGTATAGATCGAGTAACCTCAAGAAGATGCATGTTTTTTCGCTCAACAATCCCATTTTGTTGAGGAGAATTGACACACGAAGTAAGATGAATAATCCCAGTTTCCTGAAAGAAAGAACCCAAAACATTGGCAAAATACTCACTACCATTGTCAGAATGAAACATTTGGATTGAACACTGAAATTGGGTTTCAACCATCTCTTGGAACCGTTTAAATATTTCACAAGCTTCAGATTTGGTTTTCATGAGAAAGGTCCAGGTAGTACGAGTGTGATCATCAATAAATAAAATAAACCACCGAAACCCATGTAAAGATGAGACTTGAGATGGTCCCCAAATATCACTATGGATCATGGTAAATGGTTTGGACAGTTTTATATGGAGAAGGTAGATAAACACTCATAGTAAAAGAATCTGGGATGTCCTAAACGAAAATGCAATAACATAACATCGGTTGAAGGTTCAAGTAAAGGAAATTGTTGTATAACATGGTAGGAAGTAGAGGGGTAGGAAAATAAAGTTGTTGGAAGTAGGTAAAGACCCCCACAAAGCCTAGCACTGCTAATAACTTTCCCCGAGCTAGAATCCTGAAATTCACAAAAAGCAGAGTTAAATTTAGTGATACAACATAAATCGGCAGACAACTTGCTAATGGAGATAAGATTGCAAGTGAGATTGGGAACATAAAGAACATGATATAACAAAATGTCCTGATTTATTCAAATAGACCCATGACCGGCAACACCGGATAGAGAACCATCAGCTGTTCGAATATGAGAGATAGACGAGTCGGCATGAAAAGTGTGAAAGAGCCGAAGATCACCTGTCATATGATCACTTGCACCAGAATCTACAACCCAAGTAGAAGTGGTGGATATATTAGCCAAAGTAGCAGAAAGAATTCTACCTGCAGGTACTGATTGGGAATGAGTGTTTAACTGACTAAAAAACTGCTGCAACTCTTCCATTTGTTTTTTAGTAAATGAACTTCCTTGTAAATCAGTATTCACAACACATTTTTCTTGAGTATCACGTTGTTGATGCTATTTTGAATACTTCCCATCAGTAGGCTTGCCATGTAATTTCCAACAGGAATCCCGCAGCTGGCCAACCTTCTTGCAAGAGTCACACCAAGGTCTCCCCTTCTTTGGTCGAGTAGTAGTTTGAGAGTGAGGGATATAATTGTCACCATTCAATCGGTGATAGGTGATAGAGGTTGAAGAAACATCAGAATGGGGTGAATTAATGAGGAATTCCGAAGTGACCTCCGATGAAGAAGTGGTTGAATTCATGATCGACGGCTAGATTTAGGGTAAAAAAGAAAAAAAAATCGGCTAGATTTAGGTGAAGGATTGGTCACCTAGCTGATACCATGTTGATAAAGAGTAAACAACATAGTGGAGAAAAAAGGAACTCTTTTTATTATATATTGTGAATGGTGAAAATACTTCTTTTTATAGGAAAAGTTAGGAGTAAGTTTTCTATTAGAAGTAAACTACTTAGTAGTTATCCTTATTTATCTAACTTTCCAAGAGTTAGTGTTATATTAAAATACTAACTTATTTATTGCATAACCTACATAAACAAGTTAATTGACGTTGGCAAACAACACGATGACAATTCCATAAGCATCCTTGATATTTATGGGTTTGAGTCATTTAAGGCAAGTACATTTTAGTTAGCTCTTTAGAGTATATCTTTGTTAAGTTTTTCCACCTGATGATTTTTCGTTTTCTCCTCTTCAGAAGAATGGCTTTGAGCAGCTTTGCATAAACTATGCGAATGAGAGGTTGCAACAACACTTTAACCGGCACCTACTTTAGCTTGAGCAAGAGGTTAGTGTCGCGACCGTCTTTCGGTTGGGGGCTTCGACTTGAATTGATGGGTTAGGAGTCGCCACCGATCATTTTAAAAATATTTAGGCTTATCGGACACCATCTTACCTGATCTGCGTTTTACCAGAAATATGTCGAGTTCGGGAGTCGGTTACGGTCAATGAAAGATTAGCACCCTTGAACCGCCCTTTCGGTACCAATCAATTTGTCGGTTGTCTTAGTAGCG